CCCCGGCGCCCCCTCTCCGGGCGCGGCCCTCACCTTGCTGCCCGCGCACTTGTCCAGGAACTCGCGCAACTCGCGCCGCACCGCCTCGCGCAGCACGTTCAGGTTCACGCGCCCGTAGGACAGGTGCGCGGCCATCGCGTCCGACACCCGGCCCCAAGGCCCGCCCGCCCCGCGCGGACGGCGTCACGTGAGAGCGGCATCATGTGAGAGAGGCGTCGCGCGAGAATAGCGTCACGCCCACGTGACGCGCCGCGCGCTGACCCGGAAGCAGCGCCGGGCCGCGCGAGCAGGGAGCGGAGTCCGAGCCCGGTGCGCCACCCCCCCATCCCCCCGAGGCCCCACGGGCGCCTGCACGCTGCGCGACTTCCGTATTCGGGACGTCACGCTGGAAGCCGCGCGCGTGCTCGTGCCGCGGGACCCGCCCCCGGGGGTCTGGTGGCCGGACGCTGCTGCCCAGCCGCCGGCGAGACCCCGGCAGCCCCGGGCGCGCCCAGGCCGCACCCGAAGCCGAGTCCACCGCGGACGACGCTGAGCGGCTGCGCGGGCCGGGCGCCTTGGGAGGGCTCCCCGCTTTGAGATTCGCGTCTATTGCGCCCCACGGCGAGCGTGTGACGGGGTTCGCGCGCAAAGACCCGGATTTCTGGAGCCGCCGAGCATTTTCTCGCGGCCCTCCCCCGCTCCCCCCACCCGGACGCCGTGTCCGCCAGCGCCCGGATCCCCCCTGAGCTGGCTCGGGTTGGTCGCATCTCCCCCCCACTGCCTCGGCTGTCCGGGGAGCTGCCCCAGAGCGTGCTCTGTCCTTCACACTTAGGGGCGCCCTGAGTCGACGACCCATGGCCGGCTGCCCGGGCGCGTGTCCAGACCTTGAATGTAGACTGGCCCCTCGCGCCTGGGGGATGCCGAAGCGTGGGCTCTCGTCCCCCTCTCGGACACTTCGGATGCGACGGCGCGGCCGGCTGCCCCCACCCCCGGCACGAGCCCCCTTAATTAGTAACGAGACGTGGAAAGCTGTTTGCGCACATTTTAATACTGTTCGCATACCGTGTGCGTTTGAAACGCCTCCAATTAAGCTCGCAACCTGCAATTTGATTCAAGCTCGCAACCCGCAATTTGATTCAAGAGTTTCCTTCCACTTGTCAAACACACAGCTGATCATCTTGTGAGGAAAATACGTCAAAGGCGTATGCACGATTATAGAGGTTCTTACTGTACATGTACCACGGAACAGACGATTACTTTTTACAGCCTAGAAGACATTCAAATGAAGATAAATAGATTCAAACTGGCTGATAAATTTCTGATGGTTGAGGTCTTTCATGTATTTTTGTGATAAGAAAATTCAAAATCAACGTTGAATTTCCCATCATACATTCATCCAAAAGCACAGTAAAAAAAAAAACTTGCCAAGACCATAGATGGGTTAATTTGGTGTTTTATAGTGGCTTATTACCTAACTGGCTTCTGGGAATGTTGGCTGGAGAAGGGCCAAAACTTTGGAGAAAATGCTCCCAGCATTTATACATATAAGATTAATATAAAGAAACAATGAAGAAGTTGCAAAGTCAGAGTTTCTGGCCCAGGCTGTTGCAAACAGCCTAGGTTTTTAAGTGTTTCTTTTTCAAAAAAGTAAAAATCTGAACAGAATGATACATTGTGTACTTTTTCCCAAAATAGAGATTTTTAAAAATATATATACATACACTACATAGAAGCTGAACTCAGGCGAAGCCCATCAGAGCGCGGCCGGGGTACAGCGTGGCGGCGGCTGCGGCTCTCACAGCCCCCGCGCGACCTCGTGATTCCATGATGGCACCGCCCTCCGGCCGAGGCGACCCTGCACCCCGAGCAGGCAGCCACGGGCCTCAGGCGCGTCTCCACCGAGAGCGAAGTGTGTAAACGAGCAGATGAACATGGCAAATGGCACATTTTTCCCAACTCATTCCAGTGTCAAAGCTCAACCCGAAAACCTAAATATACAAATGCAGCCTGGAAGTACTTTAGTGCAAATGTGAGGAGGAACCGCACAACGGGAAGGAACTTAAATAAGGTGGCAGAGGCCGCCGGCCGGGGGACACCTGGCATCGCCTTTGTCCAGGCCGAGGCCAAGGGAGGGGGCTGCGGGGTGGGGACACCGAGGCCACTGGCGGGGAGGCCGCGGGCGCTCAGAAGGTCTGGTCGTCCTCGCAGGCGCTGGCCCAGTGCCCGAACACCTCGCAGATGTCGCAGTAGGGGCGCTCCTCGCCGCGGCTGCCGCGGTGCGCCGAGTGCGGCGGGTCCTCAGCCAGCTGCGTCTGCGTGGGGCAGTCCTCCGTGTCGTGCAGGTCGAAGCAGTCGCAGATGTCGCAGAAGAGCCGCGGCTTCTTCTTGCGCTGCTTCTCCTGGTCGTCGCTGCGGACATGCACACGATATCAGACACCGCCCCATGGGCGGTGCCACCTCGCCCGCGCCCGCCGGTGCCCGGCGCCCCACCCGCGGATGGGAAAAAGGCTTGTTCTGTAGAGGAAGGGCCCCGCATGAGCCGGTGGGCTGGGCGCCCCTGAAGCCACCTGCCCCGGTGCTGGGACCTCACCTGTCATAGCTGTTGAGGTCGTCGCCGTCCCCGCGCAGGGCGGCTTCGGACATCAGCTCCACCTTCGTCTTCAGGTCCTGGTTCTTCCTTTGAAGGTCCACTATTACCGAATTCAGGAAATCAATCTAATTGGCCCCGAACAAAAACAAAACAGAAGCCTGTGTGAAGCGGCGCACGTCCGCAATGCGCCGGCGCCCACCCCCGCCCCTCCAGTGGCCCCTGAGGGGCTTCACCCCACGGGGCAGGGCGCTGGGGGCAGGACTGCCCCCTATCTATCCCCCAAAGGTATCGTGACTTCCGAGACTTCCGCTCTGCCAATGCTACCTTACAGGAAACGCGCTACACGGAGTGTGGCAGCTGCCAGTGAACACTCTTCCTTGCAGTGGGACACGGAATTACATAACCTGTGGGCTGCTGCCACACCGGTGAGTCGCTGAAAACCATAAGAAGCATTTCTTTCAACAGAGAAAAAAGTCCCATTTTCCTCTAGAGGTTGGGGCTTGCAATGTGGCACCCAGCAGGCGACGAGCAGTGTGACTGTGTGTGTGTGCGCACATGATTTAACAAGAAGCACAATTCGTTTCATCAAACTTTGGAACCAATCAGGGCTTTTATATTTAAGGAGTTTAAAAGCTGCTCGGAGATTCTGAAACCATTAACAACTCCCTGGGGCCTCGCTGGGAGTGCAAGGGGCTGTCTCAGCACCTCCACTGCCCGGTCCACGCGGCCTGGAGGGAGCCCCGGGCGCAGCAGATGCCCTCCCATCTCCCCGCTGCCCCGCAGCAGTAGCAGTGTGTTTCAGGGGATCCGCATGTTCTACTCCCCATTCTGTGTCTGGGGGTCCTCTCACACACACCCCTGTACCCCGGTTCTTGTGTAAGTAAATCTTAAAAACATTAAAATAACATCTACTTGGTTCTGGTGGGACAGTAAGTAGAAGCTGCCCCAGGGAAACACAAAGTCTTGAAGAGTGTGGTGACCTCCGGGCTCCAGCCTGGGGGCCTGGGGGGCAGGACTGAGACCACCGGGAGGACAGGCTCTGGACCAGACACCTTCTCCCAGGGACATGTTAGCTGAAAACAACTGATAACAAGGTGTCAATTCTCAAAACCCCCCTGCGGTATCTTCAAAAGGCTGCCCTCACACGTTCCCACACAGAGGTCACTGTTCCTCCTTTCTGCTGGGGCAACTAATCCCTCACAGCTATGGGTCCTGCAGAAGGGCCCTTGAGGCACAGGCCCAGGGCTTGTTCTCGCCTCTCTAAAGTGCACGCGCCTGCGCGAGCCTCTCGGCCCAGCCTCGCGAAGCTGCGCTTCAGGAGCACACGGACAGCAGCAGAGGGCAGACACAGACACGCGCCCGCGAGCTTGGAAATTAGGAAACAGAAAACAAACCATTTGCTGGTCGGTAGGAAATGTTGGCAGCAGCAGATGCGACAAACGGAAGCAGAAAGGAAAGGGAGAAAGAAGGCAGGTGAGGCCACGCCCGCTCACACCGCCAGACTCTCTGGATGCAGGCAGTCCGCGGAGCCCCGGGACCCAGAGCCCTTGCTCAGGGGTAACCCCTGCGCCTCTGAGCTGGGACCAGGGTGAGAATACCCCAAACGCCCCAGTAAGGGTGCGAGGAGCTGCAGCTGCGGCCACGGCTTGGTGTAGTGCAGACCAAGCCTGTGCCTCCCCAGGGATGGCCCGGGGCGCCCCGCCTCCAGGGACCCGCGGGAGAAACACCAGTGCCAGCGCGGGGCCACATCCGCGCCCCCGCACATGGCACCCCCCAGAGACCCAGCCGCAGCAGCAGGCGGGAGCGGTGCAGGCCCACCCCGGGGAGCCGGCACGTTGTGGGGCGCGGGGCGGCTCTGGACTCGTGTGTCCCTTCCTCCAAGCCACGGGAGGTCACCGGCAGTGTGCCGGACAGCTCCTGCCCCGCCCGCGAATACAGCGCCGCGGCCAGCTGCAGAGACACGCGGGGTGTACCTGGCTCTCCTGGGCCCTCTCGTCCTCCTCTGCCCGCGCGTCCGTGTGACCTTCGTTGGAAGAGGGGGACAGTTAGGAATCGCAGGCTCCCTGTGGCTGCGGTGGCGGGGCCACTGGGGGCCCGTCGCTCGCAGACATGCACCCCTGCACCTGGGGGCCAGGGTGCCGCCCACCAGGGACACAAGGGCGCGCCCCGACTGGAGGCTTGAGTCGGCCTCCCACCGGGCGGCCCCTCAGAACCGGGGTGGTGCCCTCACCCCCACCTAGCACCCAGAGGCCCGGCTGCCTGACGCTGCCGGCGCTGACCTGGAACGTCCAGGACGACGGGCGGTCGGGGGCGGCCTCACAGGCCGGCGTGGAGCTGGGGTGGGGGTGCTGGGGGGGCGTTGGGCCTGGGGAGCGGCGGGGCTCACCTGAAGAGCTGCTGAGCTGCCTCCTGTTTTCCTTGAGCTGAAGCTCCAAGTTCTTTACCTGGAGCTCCAGCTTCACCTTGTCGGACTCGAGAGCCTGGACAACCGGATGCAACGCCTTGGCGGTGGCGACCTCTCCCCGGAGCAGCGAGACCTGGGACACAGGCGCAGGGCTGGGGCAGGGCTGGGGCAGGGCTGGGGCAGGGCTGGGGCAGGGCTGGGGC